TGATGTGTTGACTGCTGATTCAGCGGGACAAGTTAAGCAGTAGGATAAAGGTCATTTATTGTATTACCATTAGCTTTCTAAACTACATTTTTACAAGTTCGGGCTTGCACTTTAGTGGAACCTCTGTGAGCTGAAGGAAAATGATTTACTTCGTCTGAAAACTTAGATTCACAATCTTGCGTTAGACTGAAAAGCTGCTTCATTGTAACTGTGGGGCGAATTTCCTCGGTGCTTCCCAGCTCCTGTTCCTTCAATGATTTAAGGGAGTCATTTTCAACTCGGACTGGGACTCTAAAGAGAGGGACAAGGAAAGGGCAGCACGCTGGAGATGCTCATAAGCAAACAGTCCCACTGTCCATGCACTGGGGGCGAGTTCCTGGGGATATGTTTAACCTTTGGGTCTCGGTGATGGATTCACTGACAGGTTCTGATTTTTTTCCCTCACTCGATTCCGATCCTTTAACAAACTCGGCAAGTGAACCGTTGATTGGATACCAATTGCATCCCTGCGGTGAAACTTCCTCTATCTGACCTGTTCGAGTAACGAGAGTGGAGTTGAAAGTTTTCATCAGCGCATCCTTTTGAACAGATAGGTGGCGCCACGTTCCATGCTGTAAGCGCTGCCTTTGTAAATGGCAAAAATATTAATACTTGGAAATGACTGTCCTATCTGTACAAAACAAATGGTATCAATATGCGTCATTTGCACGTTTTGTATACCTCAGAACTGGTTGTGCTGGAACTGTGTTGGTACAGCGGCCATTTCCAAGTACTACTATTTTTTTAAACTCTCATTTTTCTGCCTCTCGATTCTAACATGCAGACTAATGGATCAACGTATTTACTTGGGAAAGGCAGCTGACAACAATAACCATGGATAATGTAAGTGGCAAAGACTCCCTCCCTCACCTTTGATGGTCTGAATTGCCCTTAACGAGCTTTGCACGTAGATTCATCCGTTGAAAAACATGAGTGATTTACTGGTGGTGGTTAATAGATGAAAAAAATAACTCGTTTTGGTGATGGGGAAAACAAAACAAAAATGTTCAGTTTGTGTAAGAGCATTAATGGATATATTTTTAAAATGGTTTAAACTGGGCTGTTGTGGTGTAGTGGTATTGTCCCTACCTCTGAGCCAAGAAACTAGGGTGCAAGACACAGCTGCTCCAAAGGTGTGTAAAAAAAAAACCTCTGAAATAGTTGATTCAAAAATATGTAAAGTGGTAGGGACTGTTCAAAATAGCCTCATTATATTATTATGCATATTTAAAACTGGTCCACACCAGCTTTCCAGTTCTATAGCACTCATCATTTTAACCAAACAACTCTAGGAATGGCAATTTTTAGGTTGTCTCTCAATTCCTAACACTTTTTAAATGTTGATGCACTCAGTAATTTGATCGTAATATTTAGTATTCCACAGGCATCTTTCCATAACAGCTTTTTATTCACCATCTGCTGATGATTCTATTTTCACCCAACTAGTAATCACCACCAACATAAGTTAATCACCTACTCATTGGTGCCACAATCTCCTGATCAACAACTTCAAATGCCAACATGAATATGACTAAATGGGAACCAAAATAGCAGCAATGATATGAACAACTTGGCACCAGCTTCAATGCCAGCAAGACAAGCAGCAACAAGTTCAGCTATTCCTCCACAAATAACTCTTAAGTTCTTCAGATCCCAGATTAAAGTACCTGCTCTTTTGAAACACACCCGTTTCAGGCCATAAATAGATCTAAAGCAATTCCCCACCCCACCTTTTTCAATTATTGGGAGCATTTCCCATATTATATGGAATGTGTGAGCAACAGGGTTGTTAAATGACACTTATCACTAGCCTGCCCAAAAATATTACATTTGGCTTCCACAAGGACCATTTAATTCCTGATCACATTTGTGCCTTGGTTCTGATGTGAAAAAAAGGGCTGAATTCCAAACGTGAACATGAGTGACTACATAAAAACGGAAAGAACTGCAGATTCTGAAAATCAGGAACAAAAACAAAGTTGCTGGAAAAGCTCAGCAGGTCTGGCAGCATCTGAGGAAGGGTCACTGGACCCGAAACGTTAACTCTGGTTTTTTTTCTTCACAAATGCTGCCAGACCTGCTGAGCTTTTCCAGCAACTGTTTTTGTACATGAATGACTACCCTTGGCATCAAGACAGCATCCTCGACCTTTGTCATCAAGAAAGCCTAGTAAAATTGCAGTCAATGAAAATCAAGGAAGTAACTTTCTATTGGCCTTTTTGCACTGGAACATCAAAGCAATCTGTATGAAATTATGAAATATTCACACGTTTTAACTTGGTTTTTGGTGTAGGATTTATGGAATGTTGTTTCATTTTAGCACAAATTTTCTAATTTTCTGTGAGAAGTGGAATTTTAAATTCAAGGGATGAGGAATAATGTAGGCAGCTGCTTCACAGGGAATTTTTTTGTCTGCCTCACTCCAAGCAGCCAAGCAGGGCTTGTAGGTCTGCCAGAAATCTAACGATCCGCCTCCATCACATCAGGAAACTAGAGGTCAACAAGAAAATCTGAAGCTGTTTACTTAACTTTTAACAAGCTTGATTTCCTGCTTGGCTCATGGGGCCGTGAAAATTCAGCCCCTTACCTCTTCTGTCTTTCTTAATTAATTTTAAATGTTTGACAGGATGTTTAATATTGTTGCCCTCTATAAGCCTGTAATCTACATCTGCAGGATTATCCAGCCATGACTGCATTCTATTATACCCAACATGCCTCTTAATGGTTACCTCTCAAATATCTGCACAATCACTTGCATGCCTCAAGGCTCCAATATGGGGATTTTCACTTATATGCTATTTGACAGGAATTGTAGTTCCACAAACATGTTACATTTGTATGCTGATGATATGGATCTAATCTTATCTGAGTAGGAACATTTGTGATACTGAATAAATGTCAAAGCAGAAATTTCACACTTTCACCCACACTCCATCTCACTTTATAGTTGCTTAGGCAATCTGAACATGTCATTTTGGCTCTTTTTTTAAAACTGGATTAAGCTTTGACTTTCATTTCTGATCAAGCAAAAAATCGCCTGCTCTCAGCTATATAACAGTTTCACCTCATTACCTCTGTTCCCCGTGATTGTTATCTCTACCTTTTTCAGACAGACTTTCACTGCTATAATATCTTCTTACTGGCAACTGTAAAGTTTAGAAATAATAGGCGTTATGCTGATAAATAGACTCCATCAATGGTATCAGATCAAGTAGTACTGAGACTCACTTAAAAGAAGTTCTAGTGAAGTCCTGCTCAACAGATGAGATGAAGTGAAGGGACTGCAGTTAGCATGAAGATGACATTTGAGCGGAATGTGGCATCAAGGAGCCCTAGCAATATGAAAGTTAATGGAATTGAGGGAAAACTCTCTACTGGCTGGAGTCATACCTAGTGGAAAGGAAGATGGTTGTGGTTGGTGGGGGTCAGTCATATCTGCTCTAGGACATCACTGCAGGTGTTATTTAGGGCAGTGTCTCATCTTTTATTGCTTCATCAATGATGTTCCCTCCATCATAAAGACCGAAGTGGAGATTTTTACTGATGATTGCACAATGTTCAGCATCATTCATGAGTCCATGTCCAAATCCAGACAGGCCTGGACAGTATCCAGATTTGGGCTGACAAGTGGTAAGTGTGATGGGATACTCTTCACTTGTCTGGATGATTACAGCTCTGCAAAAACACTCAACAAACGTGACATCATCCAGGACAAAGCAGCCTGCTAGTTGGCATCAATAAACATTTGCTCCCTCCACCATTGATGCTCAGTAGCAGCGGCATGTAGATCTATAAGAGGCACTGCAGAAATTCACCAAGGCTTCTCAGACAGATCTTCCAAACCTATGACCACCACCATCAAGAAGGCAAGGGCAGCAGACACATGGGAATACCACCACCTGCAAATTCTCCCCTCCAAGCCATTCAGCATTCTGACTTGGAAATATGTCACCATTCTTTCAGTGTTGCTGGATCAAAACCCTGGAATTCCCTCCCAAATGGCACAGAGAGTCAACCTACAGCAAATGATTGCAGTGATTCCATAAAGCAGCTCACCATCACCTCCTCAAGGTTGACGTGGGATAGGCAATAATGTTGGTCTACACCTCATGAATGAATAAAAATAGTCTCGGAAGATAGTGTATGTAATTAATGTTCATCAATTTGTACTAGTTTGGTGCTCAGTCCTCATCGGTCTCAGGCTCCCTGAATCTGCTTGGGATATTTATATTTGGTGAAGTGGCAGTGAATGACCCATAGGCAATTTATAAAGAATCCTAGTCAGTGCTGATAAAGGGATGAAGTGAAAAAACCAAAGGTCCAGCAGTAAACAAACACATCAATGATTGGAACAACTGCTGTTTACTGGAGCCTGATGAGAGCAATGAGAAGTGCACAGAGTCAGAGGGATGTTATAGCTCTAGAATGTTTTAAACTATTCACAGCTCTGGGAAAGTTGCAAACGACTTCCTGTATAACATTAAGTTCAGATGCCAAAACGGTATGTTCATTCACTTAAGAAATGTTTCCACACCCACTCTTAAAAAAATTGAGACAAGAATTTGAATCCATGCTACACCAGGAGTAATAAACCTAGTTCTTGGTGCTCAAGCATGGTTCCAATACCCAAACCCAATTCTCTGTACACATATGTGTTGACCTTGTATAATTGAATAAGGCTGTGGAAAGGGAAATCCACTCCATGACACCTGCGGATGAAAACCTCATGAAGCTAGCAAAGAGATCTCTTTTTGCCAAGCTGCACGTAAACACTGGTTTCTTGCGGCTACTATTTGACAAACAATCCAAATAACTAACAAAATTCATCACATTTATCAGCCAGCATTTAGAATTGCCTTAGTGCCTGAGATTTTACAATGTATCATGACTAGCACTTTGCAAGATTGGGTCATCTATCACCTGGACAAGAATTGAACTATATCAGTCAACTGCCCTTTCACCTTCGGTCAAGTGCCTGCTGGATTGTGAAGTTGTTCAGTTGATGGCTGGAGAAAATCTGTGTCAATTGGCCATAATGTCGACATTCCAGGAATCCTCCTTGGATTTTGTGACCTCATCCAAAAAAGTCATTTCTTTTCCTTATCCTGATTCACAGATCTAATGGATTGGAGCAAAATGTCAAAGTCAGAGCAGTATTGCAGCACTTGAACTTAACCATAAATGTGAGTTCTCTAAACACAAGGTTAACTCTTTAGGCCATATTGCTCATGCATCTGGATTCAAGGCTGACCTCAGAAAAATACAGCCAAAGATCTCTCACTGCTCGTTACCATTGCACAGCTTCGACATTTCACAAGCATGGTCAATCAGTTGGCAATTTAGTACACATGGATGAACTAGAATGATAACTTATTAAAGCAGGCCTAGGCCTAGAATTGAGATGAACACCAAAGACAGAATTTGACAAAATCAAGTTATATACTCTCTTCAACAGAAAGGACTGGCCAACTGTGAATCAGACCTACCCACCATCACTGCAGATACAGTCATAGTGATGTACAGCATGGAAACACAAACTTGGGTCCAACTCATTCATGTTGACCAGATATCCTATATGAATCTAGATAATAAGGTGTAGAGCTGGATGAACACAGCAGGCCAGGCAGCATCAGAGGAGCAGGAAAGCTGACGTTTTGGGTCTGGACCCTTCTTCAGAAAGTGTTGCCCTTTAGGTCCTTCTTAAATCTTTCCTCTCTCACCTTAAACCTACACCCTCTAGTATTGGACTCCCCTACCCCAGGGAAAAGACCTTGTTTATTCACCTTATCGATGCCCCTCATGACTTTATAAACTTCTATAAGGTCACCCCTCAGCTTCCAATGCTCCAGGGAAAATAGCCCCAGCCTATCAGCCTCTCCCTGTAGCTCAAACCCTTCAACCCTGGCAACACCCTTGTAAATCTTTTCTGAACCCTTTCAATTTTATCAACATCTTTCCTATAGCAGGAGACCAGAATTGAACAGTGTTCCAAAAGTGGCCTAACCAATGACCTGTACAGCCACAACATGACCTCCCAAATCCAATATTCAAAGCACTGACCAATGAAGGCAAGCATACCAAATGCCTTCTTCACCATCGTGTCTACCTGCAACTCCACTTTCAAGGAACTATGAACCTGTAATCTAAGGCCTCTTTGTTCAGCAACACTCCCCAGGACCTTACCATTAAGTGTATAAATCCAGCCCTCATTTGACTTTCCAAAATGCGGCACCTCACATTTATCTACATTAAACTCCATTTGCCACTCCTTGACCCATTGGCCCATCTGATCAAGGTCTCACTATACTCTAAGGTAACGTTCTTGGCTATCCTCTACACTACAAAACTAGCAGATGGAGGTTAATCTGGACAAATGTGATGTAATGCATTTTCGAAGGTCAAGTACAGGTGGAAATTATAAAGTGAATGTCAGAACCCATAGGCGTATTGATATGCAGAGGGACCTGGGTGTGCAGGTCCACAGATGACTGAAGGTGGTAGTACGGGTAGATAAGGTAGTAAAAAAGGCCTGTGGCATGCTTGCCTTCATTATAAGGGTCATTGAATATAAGGATAGGCAAGATATGCTGCAGCTTTATAGAACTTTAGTTAGGCCATGCTTGGAATATTGCACAGTTCTGGTCGCCACACTACCAGGAGGATCTTTGGAGAGTGTATAGAAAAGGTTTACCAGGATATTGCCTGGTATGGGGGATTTTAGCTATGAAGAAAGGTTGGACAGACTGGGTTTATTTTCACTGAAGCGCAGGAGTTTATTAGATTGTGAATGGCATGGAAAGAGTGGAAAGTATGAGACTTTTTCCCAGAGTGGAGGGGTCAATTACTAGGGGACATAGGTTCAAGGTACAGGGAGCGAAGTTTAAAAGAGATGTGAGAGATAGGTTTTTCACACATACCGTGGTGAGTGCCTGGAACACGCTGCCAGAGGAGGTGCTGGAAGCAGACACAATAGCAACATTGAAGAAGCACCTGGATGAATATATGAGAAAGAAGGGAATGGAGGGATACAGATCCTAAAGGTAAAGATAGTTTCAGTATGGAAGGGCAAAATGTGTTGGCGCAGGCTTGGAGGGCCGAAGGGCCTGTTCCTGGTACCTATATTGTTCTTTTTTCCTTGTACCACTAATTTTGGTGTCATCTGCAAACTTACTAACCATACCTCCTATATTCACATCCAAATCATTTATATAAGTGAGGAAAAGCAGTGGACCCAGGGCCGATACTTGCGGCACATCACTGATCACAGGCCTCTAGTCCAAAAAGCAAATTTTCTGATGAAGGGTCTAGGCCCGAAACGTCAGCCTCTCTGCTCCTATGATGCTGCTTGGCCTGCTGTGTTCATCCAGCCCTGCACCTTGTTGCCTCTACCACCATGCTCTGTCTCATACCTTCAAGCTAATTTTGTATCCAAATAGCTAATTCTCCCTGTATTCCATGTGATCTAACCTTGTGAACCCTGTCAAACGCCTTATTGAAGTCCATATAAACAATGTCCACCGCTCTGCCTTCATCAATCATCTTCATTACTCTTCCTAAAACTCAATTAAGTTTGTGAGACATGATTTCCCATGCATAAAGCCATGTTGACTATCCCTAATCAATCCTTGCCTTTCCAAATACAGGTAAATCCTATCCCTCAGAATCCCCTCAAACAACTTACCTACCACTGATATCGGGCTGACCGTTCTACAGTTCCCTGGCTTTTCCTGACCACCTTTCTGAAATAATGGCACCACGTTAGCCAACCTCCAGTCTTCTGGCACTTCACCTGCGGCTATTGATGATGCAACTATCTCAGCAAGGGGCCCATGAATCGCTTCCTTAGCTTCCCACAAAATTCTAGGGTACACCTGATCCAGTCCTGGGGATTTATCTACCTTTTTGCATTTTAAGGTGTCCAGTATCTCCTCCTCTGTAATATAGACACTTTTCAAGATATTGCTATTTATTTCCCCATGTTTTCTACCTTCCATATCCTTCTCCACAGTAAACACTGATGCAAAATACTTATTTAGTATCTCACCTATCTCCCTATCACACGGGCGGCCTTGCTGATCTTTAAAAGGCCTATTCTCTCCCTAATTGCATTTGTGTCCTTAATGTATTTGTAGAAACTCTTTGGATTCTCCTTGATCTTAAGCTATCTCATCTTCCCTTTTTGCCCTCCTGATTTCCCTCTTAAGTATACACCTACTGCCCTTATAATTCCCTAGAGATTCACTTGATCCCTGCTGATGACAACATAAAATTACAAAGCAATGTCAATAGACCGTGAATGGGCAAAACTGTGGCAGATGTTGTTCAATATAAGTAAGTTTGATGTTTTCAATTTTGAACAAAAAAGTGATAGATCAGGGTACTTTCTGGATTGTTTGAAGTTAAATACAATGGATGTTCAAAGAGACTTAGGAGTTCAAGTGCATGGATTTTTAAAATAACACAAAAAAGGTGCAGAAAGCTAATGGAGTGCTGGCCTTTATATCTTAAGGTTGGAGTACAAGGATGCCGAAGTTATGCTGCAGTTATACAAAATCCTTGTTAGACTCCATTTGGAATACTGTGAGCAGATCTGGGCATCATACCTTAGGAAGTATATACTGACCTTGGAGGGAGTACAACACAAGTTTCCAAAATTATACTTGGACTTCAGGAGTTAAACTGAGGAGAGATTATACAAATTAGACCTGTTTTCTGTAGAATTTAGAAGGTTCAGGATGATCTGATCAAAGTCTTCCAGATATTGACAAGAAAAGACAGGTTAAATAAAGATAAACTATTTCCACTGATTGGGAATTCTGGAACATGGGGAATAGTGTGAGAATTAGGGCCAGACAGTTCAGGAGAGATGTTAAGAAGCACTTCTACACATTATTGGGAGTAAATATTTGGAACTCTCTTCCACAAACAGCACTGGATGGTGGATCAGTTGCTAGATTTAAATCTGAGACAGATAAATGTTTGTTAAGCAAAGGGATTAAGGTATAGGGGCCAAAGGCAGGTATATGAAGTAAGGCCACAGATCAGTCATGATCTCACTGAATGACGGAACAGGTTTGATGGGCAGAATGACCTAATCTTGTTCCTGTGTCCTATGATGCACCATGCATTGGATAGGGGTCTAAGATAATTCATAGACCAGTAGACTCTGCACCCAAGGCACTGACAGATGCAGAACAGGAGAATCCAGTCTTTGCAAAAGAGTTCTTGGTTATAACCAAGAAACGAAAATAAATTCTTATTACCTCCTGGAGCTCAACTTTATTATTCAGACATGCTACAAGCCATTGGTCATCCTGCTCAACACTAAAGAATTGGTGAAAATGTCACACAGAATACAGAGGTCTCACTTCTGATTTATGAAGCTTTACACCACTACAAACTGGACCCAACAGAAACAGCAAACTAATACAGATGCATTGCTCGCACTCCAATTAGGAAATCCACACAAAGTGACATATATCTTCTTGAGGATCTGGAGTCTATGCCTGTTTGACCACCAGGCTCCTGTTAGCAACCTGAAAATTAGAGGAAATTCAAACAGCCCAAAAGCGGATTTGGAGTGTGCACAGATATGTGAGTTCTGTGTCATAGAATGGACAGCATATGTTCCGAGCAATTGTACTCTGAAACAGTACTTTGAACTGCATTGCCACGTCAATCTGCCAGATGACATATTGAAATATGACATGAGTTGTTATTCCCAGAATGTTTAGACTAGTTACTCTTCAGCAATAACATGAGGGACCTAACCATAACCAAGTGCTAGTCCAGGGCCCATAATTTAGTTTGGTGGCCAGGAATCTTCAAAAGTTCTTGAAGACATTTCGAACTCTATTAGGCACAAAGGTATAAGGAACCATTCATTCCTATCTTGACTGTGGGAATGTCTTGGGATGGATCCTCTTACAATGTGCAGTGGCACAGTGGTTAGCACTGCTGCCTCATGGTGCAAGGAACCTGGGTTTGACTCCAGCCTTGGGTGACTGCGTGGATATTGCATGTTCTCCCCATGTCTGCGTGGGTTTCTGTCAGGTGCTCGGATTTCCTCTCACAGTCCAAATATGTGCAACATAGGTAAATTGGCCATGCTAAATTGC